GGGGGGGAGGAGGGGGTGGTGTTGGAGGAAACAATCTCCAGCTCCCCCTTCCTGCCCTCCAAGAGACGCCGCTGCTCCAGCCCGTGCGCGCTCCTTTCTCCAGCCAGCACCGCTGACCCATAACTCTCCAGTTTTCTCCAGCGGATCGGCCCTCGCTGTTCTGATTGGCTGCACTCCGCGCCGCAATGCTTGCCCACTTCCGGCCGACCACTTCCGGCTTCCGGCTACACACCCGCACGACTCGCTTTAACGGAGCGTTCACTCTTGTGGGTATCTTGTAGACAGAGTTCGTGAATGCTCAAATGTATCCGTGCGTTATTTTTTCTGTCTGAAATTATTCCGGCATATTTCACGACATAGCTGCCATCTTCGTCAAAGTGGTATATTTTACAGGCGATGATTGCGTAGTTTTCGTCACACTGACTGTTGAAGTCGTGTGATAAGTCGGTTCTCCTCCTCCTTCCTCTTCTCGAGGACGACGCCGAGCTCGGTCGCGCGCTAGCGGCCGGCGCGCAGGCCCATGTTCTTGAGCACGTTGCCGCCGCACAGCGCGTCCAGGATGGCGTCGACCGAGGCGAGGCGGCGGACGGCGGGCGCGGCGCCGACGACGGGGCCGGGGCTGTCGGTGCCGCCGCCGGCGGGGCTGGCGGCCGCGCGCGCCCTCCGCGCGGGCTGAGCGCGCTGCGCCGCCGCCCCACCATGACCCCCCTGACGGACAACGACACGCACAGTTGAAACTTTACGAAGCAGAATGCCGAATCCTTCGTACCTACGAAGAATTTGGCAGTTTTCTTCGTAAGGTGCACGCAAAAAAAAATTAAGGGGAAGAGGAAGAGGGAAAAGAAAACTAAAGTGCAAAAGGTAGTCATTAGTTTCTAAATTTTTTTTTGACAATGAACTATTTTGAAGTCCTTGTCATTGAAACACACAATGGGTTGACCATTATGTGGTCACGCTGCTCCCGTGCTCACAGTCACCTCGACCTCGTGGCAGGTGCGCCGGGGCCGGCGCACTGCCGACGCCTTCCTGGGCTGGTCGGCCGCCGCCGCCGCCCGGGGTGCGGTTGCGCTCGGGGCCTTGGCCGCTGGTCCCGCCGCCGCCGCGGCCGACACCCTTCGCGTCGAGGAGCCTCCCCGCCTCGGCCGCACGCCGCGGGCCCTACGAGCAGGACCAAGGATTTTAATGCAACAGGAAATTGTTTCGAACATTTTTCAACAATTTTAAAAAATCTCCCAATTTTTTACAAAAAAAAAAAAATCAAACCTCTTTTTTTTTTTAATTTTCCGACAAAACACTTTAATTGTTTTGCAAATTGTTTTCTGGTAACTTTCGTACTTTTCCGGAAAAATTTTGGTTTTTTAAAATCCCTAAAGCAGGACGAGCGCGTGGTTGCCAAGTCTTTCCGGGGCGTTGCCAAGTCGGCGCATCGCCTTTGTTCTCCGTTCTCCCTCGCGCCCCGTCCCGCCCCGTGAGCGCGCGCGCGCGCGCTTTTGTCGAGTTTGAACGCCGAGTTTGAAAGTTAAGCACTTCGGCGCGGTGCGCAGCGCACCTCCTGGGCTTGCCGGGCTCGCCGGGCTGCGAGGCGCGCGAGCCGTCCGCCGGGTCGTCGCTGGACCAGGACTCCGTCTGCGAGTTGTACGTGTCAGCGCGAAAAAAAGAGAAAAGATTAAGTTATTCCTCCATCAACACGCTTCTGCCAACGTCAGCGTCAGGTTAGGTTCTGTCAGCCATGCACGAAAAAAAACTATAAACAACACACTGGTAAATTAATTTTAAGCCTGCCAAATATGTTTTTACAAGTTGATAAGACTCGTGAAAAGAGTTTTCATTTATGATCTTATCATTTTATAAATAGTTGCTTGACGGGGGGTGCCAAAGAAGGAAAAGAAAACAGTTTCGTCACTTGGCGAGACACAACACTGCAAAATTATTGTAGAAAAATGACATTCTTATTCCCATTTTTCAGACATTTCATAGAAATCTTAAAAATGAGAGTATCACCACAATTTTCTGCACAATAATTTGAGAGTGTGGGCCCCCCACCCAAGGCGCCCCACCTACCTAATCATGTGTGCGCTCGCTCTATATAAACCGTGTGAACTTTGTCAGCTTCTAAGTTTGCTGTGCGCATCTGCCTATACGAGCGGCAGCGGCTCGCCGGGCCCGACCCGGCTGCCTCGCAAGTTTAAGCCATAAAACGCTTCTCGGCCGGCTCGATAGCCACACAGAGGAGGGAAGGCCTGGGCAGACGTTTCCCGCCCCTCTGTAAAAAGAAATGTCTTGAAAATGAGGGTCTCGTGCGGCTATGTTTTTAAAACCATGTCATGATGATGACTTTTTTGTCAGCCCCGCACAATGGTGACTAGTATTGTGACAAGTAGGCTGCAAAAACGACTTGGTTGTTTAAAAAATAATACAGTTAAGACTCAAGTCGCATAAAATTCTCATATTTAAGACATTTCTATGTGTTTTACAGTGTACAGGGCGATCCGCCAGTGAAACGCGCTGCTTCCCATAGTCGGTAACGAGCCTGTAAAGCTGCATTAAGGGCCACGTTAACAACCTCATTGGGCCCCTGTGGGGGCGGCGGGGGCGGCGCCTGGGGCCCCTGCGGGGGCGGCGCCTGGGGCTGGGCCTGGGGCTGGTGCTGCTGCCGCCCGGCGGCGGCCCCGGCGGCACTCACGGGCTGCTCCTGCTGGCCTGCGGCAAGGAAATCCCAGCATCGGACTACACCAACGTGCCTTAATTAGGTAGCAGATATGTGAGCTGAAAGCTGAAAGCCGCTGAAAGCGATGCCGCCGAAAAAAACTACTTCCTTCTCAACGACTCGAATTTTTTGAAAGGTTCAAGAACAATAGTTTAAAATCGCACACCTTGAATTTTATACACGTGGCAATTTTTGTCCCAAACTGGGAGGAGGAATCGGGCTTATTTTAATCACCTAAAACTGATTCATTTTGTTTTGTGACTTCTCCCGTCCCTCTCGAAAAGTAACATGCACCAATCGCAGGAATAAATTATCAGCTAAGAAACATATCTCGACGAGAGATGCTTTGAACTTTCCTATGTGCAGCCGATGATTAGATACACTCGAGTGTTCTGGACATGCATCATGCATCCCCGAGCTCGCTGACCTGGAGGTGCCGCTTCCACCAGAGTGGCCACCGATCCGGGTCCTTGGGCGAGCGCCTCGCCGAGGAGCCCGCCTCCCTTCTGCTCCAGCGCGTCGTGCGTTCCGTCCCCCTCCCCGGCGGCCACCGCAGCTGGAGCCTCTCCGGGCGGCCGGGCTGTCGGCTGGAGGGGCAGGCCGGAGCACATACCGGCGTTGATTGGCGTGATTGAATTAAAGCCTAGTCCAGTTAAGGTTGGACATGCGACCGGGGACTTTAATCTTCTGATAAAGTATGTTTGGAAAATCGTTCAAGAATTTTTTTAAAAAATCTCAATTTTCTCCGGAGTAGTTTCATTTTTTCCCCTTTTCCATTTTTTTTCTGAAGATGTTCAATTATTTCCATTTTTTAAAAAGTTGCGGCTTCTCCCTAAAAAATTTCGGACTTTAACATGCTTACATGCGACCGCTTACAATAAGCCTGTTCAGATAATACGTGGGGTAATACGAGGGGTTCAAATATTTTTGCCCCCCCCTTATATTCACGATCACCATTGAAGTTCATAGAGACCTCGTGATGTTTGAACCCCGGGGTAGAAAGGATCCCTGAGAACTGCAATAGTACTGAATCCACACGGGGGCCATAATGTTTGAACCCCTTCCTTCGTGGGCGGGGGGCGGGTATCATCGAAATGGTACCTCAGTGCTATCGTTTTGTGAGCTTAAGTATATTCTACAATCAGATACATGGCCTTTAGTATCGACGACTAGGTAGCGCCAACCCACCTATGGAGGCTTAACAGTGCGATAGTGTGCCGATTCGGGCGGCGCATATGGTAATGTGTTGGCACATTGGTGGTTATTGAGTGAGCGGCGCGGGAAATACAAAAGTCGGGTGGTCGTTGCACATCAGCGGCACCTCTCGCAAACCTCATCGCCCACCGTGCCCACCACCAGCCCCTCTGTGGACACAGGGCTCCCGCTGGCAAACAGCCACGACCCTGGCGCGCCGGGCTGCCAGCTCTGCCTGTCCCGCCCGGCTGCCAGCCCCGCCCGGCCCGACCCGCGCCCAGACGAGGGCAGAGTGATAGCGTTTGGGTGATTAGTGCTAATCCGATCGGACAACTGCGCCGGGCCGCGGCGGGTGGTAGGGAGGGGGGGG